AATTTAAGCAGTGAAATTGACATTCTGTTATTAACAGAAGTGAAACCTAAGGTAGGGACAACGCTTGCAGGAACACTCAGATGAGAGGATGAGGAGTCACTGTTGAATGGATCGGGGCTTCATGCTGGGTATAGGAAGTTGTTTTGGAGGAGGTTGGGGGTGACAGTGGCACAGTGTGGACATTCTCAGAGCCACCAACCTAGACCCTTGAAAGTGTTCACAGAGATAAAATTTCTGCTATCTGTATTTTCCAAACAAGACCAGAAATTGATTCCAGATTTAACTGAGCTAGCAGATAACTTACTTGAGGAAAATCAGTATCCCACTGTGAAGAACAAGGGATCCTATACACCCTGGACCTGCAGAGCCACTGACTGGGTAGCTGGGGCAGGCTGGGCCACTGCTATCCTTTTAGCACTGTCAGAAATTGGCTTGAGTGTTTAGATGTTAAAGAGAGGAGGACATTTTCCAACCAGAGCGACTTCAGGATAGATGTTATTAAGGGTTCACCTCTGTCTTTCAACCTCAGGCAGCCTTGACGATGCTGTTTCTCAGCGTCTCCACCTCCTCGAAGAAGCACCATGCACAAAATATGACTGCAGAAAGTGGTGTGTGAACAAGGTCGATGCTGGGGGAGCACCTACTGGACAACAGCTTGAGTTTTTAGAGTTTATTTGTAATGCAACTCTGATCATAAGGAGCCAGCAGGATGTGCTGCCTCTGCACAGAGGCAGACACAGCTCTGATGGATCATCAACTGCTGCTGTGTCTTCCAAACTGGGGTGGAATTGTTAATCTGAATGATTCCTTAAGGATCACGAAGTCAGTTTAAGGGCTAAGGCATGTTCCTGGTTTACCTCAGTGGAAAATTCTGCGTGGGCCATGAAAAGACCCTTTGAGAGAGGATTCTACCTAAATAATACCAATATCCTGGGGTCTCTGGTTGGATTATGTAAGTAAAAGCTTGAGCAGCTCCTGATAATAGCTTCAAAGGCCATAGGAAGGTCAAAATGAATCACAAATCATCTACTACTATTTCCAGAAAACTCTTACAGAGGTAAAATGAACACAGTTTTAAATGGTGTTCAGGATGATACATGAAACTTCTGAGAATAAGCTAAGGCATGAAAGGAAAGAAATATATAAAAATATTAGCAGTCTTATTTACTCTTCAGTTTTTTTACACTAGAGAGACAATATGATGCTTACACATATGGGTCTGATTTATTTCATTTAAGGCTATGAAAACGTAAAATAGATATTGTGAAAGTAAAAAGGGAAGAGACTGCTCCAAAGGAAAGAACAACTTGGATGAAGATAAGGGGAAAAAGAGGGAAAATATTATATATATACCCATATACACACACACACATAACACACATACACACACAGCAGATAATTGTACTACTAATCTCTGTTAGCTTGTCAAAAGCATGGCTTGTACTTTCATTGTTTGATCATTTTTTCATGCTTATATCTTATAATCTGAGCAACTACTTTGAATATGCAATATAATAACCATCGTCTATTATTTTGTTTTAAAATTCTATGTCATCATTTTCATTTTGAAATAAAAAATACTAGCATTAATTACCTACATGAAGGAGTCAGATATGTGCTTTAATATTTCATTCACTTTTCCAAATTTTCTACAATGAAGATGTAAAGGAGAAATGAAATCATTGCTCGAAAATAGACAGCACCTTTTTTTGTGGAGACTTTCTGAACTTTCTTGTGCCTGGTGTTTCACCAGTTTTTAAAATATATTTTATTGCTACTGTTGCACGTGATGCTCTGAAGCCGGTTACTTCCTGAAATTCTCATCCTTCCTGTTTCACTGTTTCCTCAAGAGCACAGAGCACACCGCTGATCTTTTCACCTCTGCTACTTCCCACTGTTCCTGGCACACAGCTGCTATAAAACATCTGCTGTTCCAATGGAAGCATTTCATCATCAGAAAGTTTACCATGAGGTCTGCTTGTTAGTAGGAGGCTTTTAAATTGTTCCTAGGTTATTAAGTTGGCCAGATCAAAGGAAAAACTACGACGCACAAATATTAGTGATGATGCTGTAGGGATAAGTGAGAGGTAGAAAAAATAATTTAACACTAAGGATGCCATAGGATAAAAGCCAGAGAAGAACCAGAGAGGTGAATTTATTCTCCAGATAAGAGAAAACAATAATGCTTCAATAAAAGGCTTAAAAAATAATATTTTGTAGCTGGAATTTATAATCACAAACACTAACCTGACATAAAAACCAGCCTTTGAATAGCATGAATTATGCTTTTACATCTGTGCTACGTAGAAAAGCCAAAGTTTGTTGGAAGATGCCCTGGCAGTGTATTAGAATCAAACCCAAACCACAAAAGTCAGATCTGTCCAAGGCTTATGTGTATTGTGTGCTGCTAGGAGAATAAAAGGTGGTTATGTGCATGATTTAACGTTAATGGTCAGCAAACCCTATGGAAGAGGAGAAGGCATTTACTAACTTAAACTGTGTAAGGGATCTCAGAAAGAGAAATGACAGAATGAGTTTGAGACAATCATGGTACGAATGCAAACTGAGATGATTTGGAGAGACACCTACATGGTAACACTAGGAAAGAGATGCACCTAGTAGGTCAGCGGTTCTGAGGGCACAGAACAACGTCTGAGAGCAGAGGCAGGATGCCCTGGGTCATTTTTTGAAACAGCATTTACTCCAAGGAGATGCAAAGAATTCAGTGGATGAATCAGCCTAAAAATAATAGAAGTGGGAATCTATGATGTTCGTAGGAGCAAAGGTTTAATAATACCCCAGAGAAAATCATCTAGCAAAAAGCAAATGCCACTGCATTTGTTTGATAACATCCATTAGTGCAGACCGTCTGGGAAATCCAGCGACAGGCATAAAAATATCTTGATTTTAAAATCAGCATGGGAAAAATAAATGAGCTATTCAAAGAAAACATACATGTGCCTAGTATAAGATCAAACTACAACTATATTCGGTTATTTAAAACAGGGCCTACAAGAAGGAAGTAAAAATAGATGGTGAGGAGTTTGAAGCAAAAAGAATCAAAGAATACACCAAGAACCAAATAATCATATAAAACAGGAGCCAGAAACCAGATCATACTGGCCTCAGTAAGAGGTATCAACAAAGCTAAAGTTCTTAAAGTTTTTTAATTTTAAATACTGTTAATTTTCATATTAATATATAAAAATTATTAATTATTAATATATGAAAATTTCATATTACTATATTTTCTATTAAATACTATTAATATATTTAAATATTTAAAAAACAATTTTTCTTGATTAGTATTTCTAGAAAATTATGAAAGGAGGGCTAGAATAATATAAAAATTTAAATACTGTTGCAACTTGTCATAATTAGAAATTTGAAATCTGTCGAATGTCTCAAAACGAGACATTGTGATGTAAACTGTGGCACCACTATGCTTTGGCTCTTACACACTCCAGCAGTTACTTGTAGTAACATGAAGTTTATTTAGGGCAGAGCTTAAAAATGAATAAATCATTTTATACTGTATGCATTGCAAAGCTAAAGTAAAGCCATCTATACTTTTAAACTCATATTCTCTTAATTACTTTTGTAACATTCCTTGGATTGTCAGGAAAAAGCAGCTACTTAATTGTGTTTGGATACTTTTTATTAGTATGTACAACCTTCATAAGGCTCTAAACACTCTCTCAGAAAAGTAAAAGGGAGAACTAGATTTGTATATAAACATTAGGTTTTACAAACCCCAAGTAAAATACGACAGAGATGAAAGCTAAGACGTGGAGAGGCTACATACTGCCTGTGCTAGTGTATCTAAAGCGATCACTAAGCGTAGTGTCCAGGAAGACTTTTACATACAGTGTCTTCGCATACAGGAAACTACCACGCCTCCATGTATCCCTGCTTGATTTATCTCAGGGTCAGCCATCTACAGGCTAAGAACAAGTCAACCACGCCTGAAGCCTTGGCTGGGACCGCTGGGTAGTCTTTCCTGCCTCTCATTTTCCTAATGGTCAATTTGTCTCTGTGCATCTCAGGAAAGACCCATTCTTCAGGGGGGTTGTGCGTTTTATCTGAGGAGCTAGCCTTTTTATTTCCTGGTCGCTCCTCTGTCATTTTGAGATTAAACCAATCCTCTGAATGTGTATTTTATTCCTTTTGTATTTCTAATAAACAGTTCTTCAGTTTGCATTGTTTTATGAATCAGTGGATTTTTTTCTGTTTTGGACTCCACAGTATATTTTTTGTCTACTTTAGCTATTTTAAACTCTCTTAAGAAATTTTAAAGCTGGTTTTTCTAAGTGCAGAATCTTCATCAAGGCCTAATTTGATTTTTACGTTTAGGCCACTGCACAGAAGCACACAAAAAAGTATTTTCAACTAAGGCGGACAGTTTTTATGCAACTGTAAAATACCTAGTTTAATTAAAGCATTTACATCTATTGAATTCTAACAACTTGAAAATGATACAGAGAACTTATTAGTAAATTTCACATAGAAAAAAACCCTGGGTTTTATGAGAAACAGGACATTTTCCCAAATCTACATCCTGGTATCCTCTCCTGTATTCCAAAATTTGGGGGGAATTTGCTGTTGCATTCTCTTTCCACTAAGGGATGTGGAATATGCCTTTTGTTTCCTACTTACTCCTGATATTCTGATTGCAGAGTCTTTTAGCATCGCTCACAAAATATTTTAAGGGTTTGTGACTTTAATTAAAACAGTCCTGGTAAAACCTGGAATCAATTCTGAGCATCACAGGGCTATTACTCACGGAAAGTGGCCCCTGGCCTTGCACCATCACAAGCTCAATCGGGAGGTTCTTGTCCTTGGCGTCTGCTTCTTTTATGAAAGCCCTTTCATGGATCAAGGTTACCGGGAAGGAGATGTGTTTTGCTTGTTCGTAAAGTCAGCACAGACACCCGGGCCTGCTAGAGTAGGGACAGCAGGGTCCTTGCACACGATCAGAAGCAGCCAGCCTAGTGACTCACCGGCAGGGCAGGATCCTAACCACGTCGTTGGGCTTGTACCCTTCAATACACACTGCACAGTTGTCAAAATCGGGCTCCGTCTCCTGCAACAGAAGCAGCAGAAATGAGCCTGCACTGATTTTTAAGTAAACACCCGAGTAAACCCAAGGGGAGCAAGGCTAGACCAAAGCTTTCAATATCCCCGTGCCAGTTTTCTTCATCAATAATTTACTGGTAATTGGCTTAGTTTCCATCCCTTTCAACCTCTGCCTTTTGTTTGTAGGTTCCATTGCAAGTGCTTTTGTGAAGAAAAGCATTTTCTCATGTGTCATTACTAATAATGCTCTTCATTGTTACTGATGACATATCAAACTCTTGAGGATCAGAAATAATAATTATGGAGAAGTGTCCGAAATAATAATTATGGAGAAGTGTCTGAATGATATTTCAGTTACTTATTCTTCTATAACCTACTTGTGAAATGTATATAAATAAAAACACAAAATAGTTGTATTTTTTCAAGTCTATAAAGCTTTTAATACATCACAACTTATTACTTATGCAATATTCCTTGTATATTTATTGACTAATAATGAGATATACCCTTTTAATCCCTTTTTGAAACAGTCTTGCTAAGTCACGTCGTTATTCATGCTGGGCTCAAACTTGAGATCTTCCTGCCTCAGCCTCTCAGTGTGATGAGACTACAGTCATGTGCCGCCCTGCTGTGTTGAATTTTATCTCATTAAGCCCAACAGGGTTTCAAATGGTTGAAAAATAACAGCACCTTATTTGTCAGAAAAATCAATTATTCATAATAGAGATAACATCTGGAGCACATGTGGCAATGTGAGTCCCTTACCACACCCTCAGGAACTGTAAACACATGAACTGTACTGTAATTCACTGTCCTTCCTTGAGACACAGGATTGCTTTTGGCTCTGTGCCATCAGCCCAGGGTGCAGGAGACAGTGAATTCACCTAAAGGTTAACACTATATTTTAGATGAGCTGAATATTCTGCCCTGTTTTTACACTGCTGATTTGAACCAGCTCAGCACATAGCTCTGTTCTCTTTTTCAAGGATTTCTAGAAAATCTTAGCCATCTTACTAGTAAGCAGAAGCATTTTTAAAAATCTTGCGGGACACTGGGATAAGCTACTTAAATGTTGTCTGAATACTGAATATTGAATTTTGTTTCCTTTTTTTATATTGGCTGCTAAAAAAGATTGGGACCTATTCCTGTGACACATGCATTTGTGTACTATTCTCATCCGGGGTTTATTTATTTTCTTGCATACTTTTCAGTTTTCAAATTCTCTTTTCATATGATAAGACTTCTTGCCATCATATGCGCTTTATAAACTACTTTAACATTTAATAAACGAGTATAAGTACCAGATGCTTATAGGATAAAATTTAGCACGTGTTTCCCTTTCCCATCCTCCCCTTTTTTGCTCTGTCCTTCAGTATCTCCTCATGAAAAGAGAAGAGGCTGTTACCTTGTCGCCTTTCTTGATGGTCCTGATCTGCAGCTTGCTGATGGCTTTCTTCGCTGCATCTCCCAGCCGCCGCTGAAACATGAAAAGCTGCTTGTTAGTAATAAAGACGTATAACTGCTGGCTTTGTTTCTGATAGCGTTTAATAAACTAGCACAGCTATCTGAAGTTCTGCACCCATGGCATGGTTGTGAGCAATGGAAGAGATGGGGCAGTTGTGTCTGTGTATGAAACTGCTTGTCAAAGACAGTTCTTCATGCCTAGCATTAGGCCACTGGCACAGAAAGATCCTACCCAACGGTGACTTCAGTGCAGGTAACATCTGCATAGACTAGGAAAAAAAAAAAAAGCATTTACTCATTTGCTACTAGAGTGGCTACATTTGTGACATGGAATAGTTGAAATAAATTTCATTTCCTCTTTTTTATGGTCGTGGTTTATTGAGTCCACATTCTTTGCACAGACCAACTCAGCCCAGGCTTACATCTGGTCCTTTCCATCCTATCCCATCACATTCTTGTGTGCCGATTCTAACCCCCTTAAGCAGATGTATGACTGTGCATATGGAAAATTACATATAACATAATGTTTAGGTAAGCAGATAATTATAAAGCAAACACTTGGGTAACTACTATGGCTCATGTCAATATAAAACATATCATTCTCTGTTCTTTTAATGGAGAGCATTCCTATCCTACTGAGCCCTGACCTGATACAGTGAGAGGTCAAAGAGGATGGAGATGATTAAATTTTAATCCTTCAAAGAAGAAAATGGTTTGTGTGCTCCTGAGTTTTCTAAATGATTTTTCTCTACCCAAGGTGTGTGTGCTTCTGGTTTAAAATGTAAGTGTATCTGCAGCAGGGAAACATATTTGAAGGTTTAAAATTAGCAGAGCTAAAATTGAGTACCAATTAATTGTTTATATTCACTCATTTTGTTCCATGTTGAAAAAACACTCAAACTTCTCCCTTTTCTTTCTTTAAAATTTTTTCTCTCTTGTTTCTTTTTGGACTGATAGGGATTGAACCCAGGGCCGCATGCATGGCCAGTAGATGTTCTACCACTAAGCCACATCCCAGCCATCTTTGTTTTCTCTAAATTAGTGAACATACACTAGTGCATACTTAAATGTCCTATGTATCTTACTAAAGCTTTATATGAACTCTCACCCATACCCTTAATATAACTTCTGAGAAAAGTATTGTTTTAGAAAGAACTCATGTTGCTAGGTAAATTGTTCAATATCACAAAATCAGTGAAGTTAGTGTCTGAATAAACTTAAGTTGGACGTTAATGTTAATCTGCTGCCTTCATCTTTACTCAACAAATAACCATCCAGTCAACTGGCCAGTTAGCCAAGCATCTGACATGTGACCTCTCAGCCAGTCCACAAACCAACCAACTAGCCAGACAACCAACACCTCACCCCCAACTAATCAGCCAACTAGCCTGTCATCCAAGCAACTGATCAGCCAACCTACTGGTGATCCAATCACAACCTGTTAAGTGTTTATCAGGGTTTGCTTCTGTAAGCACTCAGAGATAAAGTAAATGAGCAGAAAATGAGATGTTTGCTTGGCTAACTTATTTTCTATTTAATAGTTCATCCTTTTTTTTCTAAAATAATACTTTAAAGAAAAACAACAGAAAGGTGAGTATGGGCTGTTTCTTAAGACACAGACAGATTTCAGATTTTTGCATAGGTCCAGAAATAGCTAACAACTACCGTAGCAGGAGACCATAATGACATCTATCAAGGGAGATGTAGAAGAGAGGGAAAGAATCAGAGGAAATAGAACATGATGGGCCTTTCCTCTTCTCTCGCTACTATTTGTTTCTCTTTTGGTCTCGTCCAAGCTGTTGGTGCAGGGAGCCCTCCTAGACATCTCCCGGCTCGGGTTCTCCAGTCTGGAACCTCGACACACTTTGTACCAGGGCCTTATAGCATGATCACATGAGAAACACATTTGTTTCTCTGCTCAAGCTGTGCTACACTCCCCTCCAGGAAGCCCCAGGACAGTAGCCTGAGTTGATTTTGCTTCCCTCCGCATCCCCAGCACGCAGAATAAAGCTGCCCAGTGACTGATGCTCTCCTGGGACACATATAGACCTCTCGTCTGTGCCCAATGCACCTCTGGGTTTTACAAAAGTGGTAATGAGAAACACAAAAATTCCTGTCCTCTGTAGATCATAATCTAGAAGAAATTGCATAAAAGATGAGGGAAAAATATGAAGCCAGTAAAGGAGGTGTGGTGATGCACAGCTGTAGTCCCAGCACTCTGGGAGGCTGAGACAGGGGGATCACAAGTTTGAGCTCAGCCCGAGCCATTTAATGACTTGGCAAGACACTGTTTCAAAATAAAATATTTTTTTAAAAAGGGCTGAGCACATAGCTCAGTGTGAAGGTCCTGGGTTCAATCCCTAGTACAAGAAGGGAAAATGCAAAATAACCTAAGAAAACAAATTACAGGGATATATATTGTAAGATAAAGTTCTCAGGCTTGGTAAAACCAGCCAGTCTCTCTTAACTGCTATCCTCTACTGTGAATTCCAGGCATGGCTGAGAAAAGAGACCACAGAACTGTACGACACTACATTTAGAATAAGAAATCTGGACCCCCAAATAAACAAATGTTTACTTTTAAATCAAGAGCTCAGATATTTTTGCAAATATGTTTAACTGGTATTCTGTAATATTGGGACCCAACTTAAATCACTTAAAGAGCCTTTCATTTTCCAAGGTTGAGCAGGATAATTAAGTGGAGAACAGTATTTTCAAATGATGGGCATAGATTTTATTCAAAGGAAGCCAAAAATTTTTTAACCAGGTAAACTAATGTTTTTCAAATTTAATTCCCCTTAAAACAATTTTTTAGCAAATGAAACATACCTTTCTGAATTGTGAGCATGTAAAGTGAACTCAAGTTCACTTTAAACTCTGGCTACCAAAAAAATACCCTTTATTTTGGTTTTATCTGAATAAAAATAAGTTAGCTTTGAAAACATTCCCTTCCTCTCTTGCAGAGAGAAAGCCCTTTCTGTGCCTTTGAAGGGAAACTGCAAGCTGCCCTTATTAGAAAAAGAAATGGCAAGTCCATTCAGGGAACATAAGCAAGCTGGCATGGCATTAACATACCAGGGATTACGGCCTGCGGGAGAGTTAATGGTCAGGGAATTAGAAAGAAGAGTTTCATTACTGCCATTTGTCTGACAGAGCCCTAGAGAGGTTAAAGGAGTTTAGTGAAGGATAAAGTCATTTAAGAGATGGGTTTCTCAAATTAATAGAATAAGACTAGAGTAAAATAATAAATTCTTCTTCAACATCAAGTCTATGAGGCTTCTTCCCTAGAAGTCCTGGAAGATTAAATGATTCACAAAGGTAGGAAGACATATTTTCCTTAAACATTCTGAAAATATGCTGTAATAGTACTATTTTCCTCTTCCTTTGAAGTTCTTTGGGTCAAGCTTCATTTTATAAATTGCATGCACACACACACATCTATACATGCCACTTTTTTTGGGGGGTACTGGGGATCGAACTTATGACCTTACGCTTGCCAGGCAAGAGCTTATGCCACTGAGCTCTATCCCCAGCTTACATGCCACTTTTAAAAAACAATTATTTTATGAAAAATAAAACTTCATAATCAAATAATGAGAGTAACTAGTTATTACACTGTGCATTATTATCTTCAAAGTGGCTACTTAGACTACAGGCCATAAACCAAAAGGATTCTTACAAAAAAAAACAACACAAATCTTTCTTTTTCATGAACTAAGAGAAACAGTAGTATAAATGAAATCAATTAGCTTAAATATTGAGATATTTTTAAAACAATGGAATGTGTAGTTGGGAAATGAACTTTTCCCTCTTTCCTATTCATCTCTCTTCTATTTTGCTCTTTGTGTTTCTCATATAAGAGGAAACGTGATCTTTGGGTTTGTGTGTCTGACTTCTTTCACTTAACATTATGTTCTTCAGCAGAATCCATCTCCCTACAAATGCCTCAAGTTTATCTTTCCTGTTGGCAATGCAGTACTCCATTTTTCTCCTGAGTTCATCTGTTGATGGACATATAGCCTCTTTAATAAATGGTGCTGAGAAAATTGGATGTCCACATGCAGAAGGTTATGCCTAGACCCATATATCTCACCACGTAACTGAAACTAAAATCAAAATGGATCAAACATCTAAAATCTACATGTTAAAACAGAAACAATCTCCTGGAACATAAAACAGGTACAGTGCTTGAAGACGCAGGTGTGGAGAGGACTTTCTCAACAGAACCCCTGTGGCACAAGAAATCATACTCCACAAATGGAATCATATTAATTAAAAAGCTTATGCCTCATCTGAGGAGGAAAAGGACAGCATTTTGGCAGTGGTCATGAAGATTATGAAAATCTCCCCAGCAGGGATGGAACAGATGGTCCAGCTAACTGCAGACACAGGAAAATCAGCTTCTGAGATGTTTACGACGGACGTGGGTCAGATCATAAGAGGTTTTTTGTTTTGTTTTGTTTTTCCTTTTCTTTTTTTTCTTCCACTATGAGTTCAGGATTAGTAAAGGGAAAAGCACCATAAAAGTTTTCAAGTTTTTCAAAGTAGTACTGAGTCCAATATTGTCTGTACATGTCTATCTGTCTTTCATGACATGAAAATGATATGCAGGAAAAACTGTCCGACCTTTAACACCTACAAATGTTTCCAATATTAAAAAAAAACTTAAACAAATTTCCAATTAGTGTTATTGGATTTCCAAAATGCAAATTAAAGAGCTAATAAAGAAAAACAAACATTTCCAATGAAATGGCCCAAATAAAGCAGCCCTTGCTACTGTGGTTGATTTCTTCTGTCTTTTTGTTTTTGTGGTGCAGGACTTAACACATGCTAAGCCAGAACCCAACCCCTGAGCTACATCCTCAGCCCTGTTTCTGGATTTATAGCTATGTCAGGTATAAAGGGGAAGGGAAGCTCAAGCCTGGCTCAACCAGCGTCTCAACCAGAGCCTGAATAGAGAATCTAGGCAGTAGAATCTGAAGTTTCTCTAACACAGGGTCTCATCCCTCCTCC